CTTCAACAAGAGAAGAAAAAAGAGAGTCCACACCAAGCTGAAAATACATCAGTTGGAAAGCAATCAGCAACCATGGAAAATAGCAATGAAGTAGGGGCTAATTCAAAGGAAAAAGCTTCTTTAAATAGCCAGTCTTCTCAGCCCATTGTTGAGACACCTGCTGTCTCTAATAGACCTCCTCACCATTTCCCCAAAGGCTTCAAAAACAGAAGCAAGATACTCAATTTAGGAAGTTTCTCCTGAAGGGAAGATAGAAAATGTTTTGGTCAAGGTGCATAAGTTTATCCTACCAGCTGACTTCATCATCTTAGATTATGAGGAGGATAGAGAAGTACCTATAATTTTAGGGAGAACTTTCTTAGCCATTGGTGGGGCTGTGATAAATGTTAAAGAAGGAGAGTTATCCATGAATGTTAATGGGGAACAAATAAAATTTAACATTTTAAAAGCCCTGAAATACCCAAAAGAGTTAGAGGAGTGTCCAATGCTAGACGTGATCGACCATGCTGTCCAGCAAAGGATTATTGAGGCAGAATCAGTAGACCCACTAGATACCAAAGTGTGTGAGAGCTTGGAGGCCAGTAAGGCAGACGTAGAGGAATGGTCGAAAATGGTTGAACACTAGGTGCATCCCCAATTGGAAAAACAAGAACTTTAAGTCCTTAGAGCTTACCAAAAGAGGGTTTAAAATTCCCAAACCTTCAATTGAAGAGCCTCCCAATTTAGAGCTTAAGCCTCTGCCTAATCACCTTAGGAAAGCTTACTTAGGAGAAAAAGACACTTTGCCAGTCATTGTGTCTAATTTTCCCACTGTTTTGGAGGAGGAACATATGCTGGCTTTGTTAAAAAAATTTAAGAAAGCTATAGGTTGGACCTTAGCAGACATTAAAGGTATAAGCCCATTCTATTGCAGGCATAAAATCTTTTTAATTGATCCAAACAGCAACTCTAGGGAACAACAAAGGAGATTAAATCTTGTGATGAAGGAGGTTGTTGAAAAAGAAATCATAAAGTGGCTGGATGCAGGTGTTATTTACCCAATTTCAGACAGCAATTGGGTTAGTCCAGGGCAGTGTGTCCCCAAAAAGGGTGGGATCACTATTGTGGAAAATGAGAAGAAAAGATTAATACCCACTAGGACTGTCACTGGTTGGAGGATCTATATGGATTACAAAAAAACTCAATAAAGCCACTAGAAAAGACTATTTTCCCCTCCCTTTCATAGATCAAATGTTGGACAGGTTGGCTGCTAGGAAATTTTACTATTTTCTTGATGGTTATTCTGGTTATAATCAAATAGCCTTAGCCCTTGAAGACTAGCCAAAGACCATTTTCACATGTCCTTATGGCACTTTTGCCTTTAGAAGGATGCCCTTTGGGCTGTGCAATGCACCAACCACCTTTTGGCTATCTTCTCTAATATAATAGAGCAATTTGTAGAAGTCTTCATGGATGACTTCAGTGTTTGTGGAGATTCTTATGAATAATGTTTAGAAAATGTAGGAAAAGTGCTAGAAAGGTGTGAGGAGACAAATCTGATTTTAAATTGGGAGAAGTGTCACTCTATGGTGAAGGAAGGTATAGTTCTAGGACATAGAATTTCCAAGGCTGGTTTAGAGGTTGATAAAGTAAAAATAGATCAGATTGAAAAGTTACCTCCCTCTGTTAATGTAAAAGGCATTAGATATTTCCTTGGGCATGCTGGTTTTTATAAGAGGTTCATAAAAGTTTTTTAAAAAATTTCTAAGCCTCTTAGCCATCTACTTGAAGCTAACACCCCTTTTCAGTTTGATAAGGCTTGTCTTGAAGCCTTTGAAGAGCTTAAACAAAGGCTAATTTCTGCTCAAATAATAATAGCCCCTACTGGTCATTTCGATTTGAGTTGATGTGTGATGCAAGTGATTGGGCAGTGGGGGCTGTGTTAGGACAAAGAAAAAATAGAGTTTTTCACTCTATTTATTATGCTAGCAGAACCTTGAATGGAGCCCAACTCAATTACACAGTGACTGAAAAGGAACTGTTGGCTGTAGTGTTTACCTTTGATAAATTCAGATCATATTTGGTAGGCACTAAGGTTAAAGTGTACACTGATCATTCAGCCATCAAGTACTTGGTAGAAAAGCAAGACTCAAAGCCTAGACTCATTAGATGGGTCCTTCTCCTCCAAGAAACGTTAGCAAGACCAACACTTGTGGTTGTGACAAGATTAATTGACTGTATTACTATATGATTATTCATTTTTTTTGTTTGCATGGGAATTAAACCACTCCCATTCAATACAGAGCTTTACCTTCACATATTTACAAAGAGATTATTTTTCAAATTTAAACTCGTGACCTTTCTGTCACAAAGAAATAATTTTTAACACTGCACAAGGCTCACCTTCTTTGCAAATATAAGAGCATACTTCAACTGAATGTTGTTTACCATTATGCCAAATTTCGAATGGCTATATTATGGACAACTATTCAATTACAAAATAACTGTGCTACGGCGAAGAGTGAGTTGCAAACAGAGAGGGAGCGTGTCCAGAAGCATTATACAAGAATTATATGATAGATTGCATGGAATTCAAGGTGTTATATAATAAAATCTTAAAGATTTGAAAATTGAGCTAATGGTTTGATATCTTGTTCATTTTGAAGGTAAATCCACAAGATTGGGTGCTAAGAAGTGATAAAGGAATCAAAACAAAGATTTGAAGCTCAATCTTTCAGCCCAATCTGCAGGATCTTAAATAAAAACAGAAACAAATCAAGATTTGATTAGGAATTGATAGAGATTCGTGGGGAGATTTGATGAAGAATTAAAAGATATGGCTTCAAATGTTATAAATAAGGAGATTGGGGTCAATGGAATTAACTCATTCACAGACACACCACGGGAAATACACAGAGACCCAAAGGAGAAATCCTGTTGTGGAGCGTTGGAACACTGGGGAGCCAAGTCAACATCACACCAATGGAGGTTTGGGGAACTATTTTCTTTCTTATTGCTTTTGAATTTAGTATGCTAGGCTAAGTTTTTCTGTAGTTAGGGGTAGATGAAACTCAATTGAATCCTTATGTTTAAGAATTAAATTGTCTCTGAATTATTCTCTTTTTATATTTGAATAGATTTATCTGTCTTTAATGCTTTCTATGAGTTTGCTCCTTATAGATTGATTTAGGAGAATTGTATGACAATAGGGATGTTGGTGCATGAACCTTGATTTGATAAATTTATCACAATCCTTGTGATCTAGGGATAGACATAGAGCAATTATGCAATCTTTAAATTCTTTATCTTAATACATGTTTTCTTGGGGAATAATCGGGGGAATTAGAGTTCTTTCAAGATCACATAGATTTAGGGTAACAAGGAATTAAGCCCTAATTAACTTAGACAGAATTTATTTCCATTATATTAAGAATAGATTCTTGACAGTTTAATTCATAGCATATAAAGGATATTGAGGGAAGTAGAAACCCTAACTACGCTTGTTTTTAATCTTTAAATCAATCATCTTTCCAATTGCTTTTTAATTTTGAATTTTAATTTGCATGTTATTAATTGTTTTCTTTTTAATTTTAATTTTCTTCATCTAAATATTGATTGTCCAACTAAACCGCGATTAGCGAACTAGTGTTTGAAACCCAATCCTCGGGAGAACGATCTCGCATTTCGGTACACTTTTATTACTTAACGACCAGTATACTTGCCGAGTCGCAACAAGTTTTTGGCGCCGTTGCCGGGGATTGGATCTTTCATCATTAGAAATAGCTAAGCATGTAACATCCGGGCGCTGACGATGGCGGAGAGTGATTGCCGGTGCGAAAGGGCACAAACAAGGAGCGGCTCCTGGCAGGCTTCTAGGGACGGGGGTACATGAATGAATCGAATCAACACCCGAAAGAGAGAGATTCCAGAGACTGTGCTGGTATGGGACGGTACAGTTGGGAATAGCTTATAAGAATTAATTGGTACTACCTATACTAACAAGATGCATCTACTTTTCGGTAGCCCGGATCGGAAGAACTCCACAGTTAAGCGTGCTTGACTTGGAGCAATTCTAGGATGAGTGACCTCCTGGGAAGTTTTCCCGGGAAGTATGCGAGCGAAGACAAAGCACGCTGAAAAGTCTCGTGTTAGTGTGTGGGGACAGTCGTTGATCCTTGCAAGTTGTCAGGCGTTACAAAATGCCTTTTAGATTGGACTTTTTATTTTTCTGCAATTTAAATTTTCTGTATTTATATAATTTTATTCTATTTTTTTTATTTTTTTTGAATTTTGAATTTTTAAAATGTTTTTTTATTTTTATTTTTTTCTATTTTTTCTATTTTTTCTATTTTTTATTTTTTTATTTTCTTTTATTGAAAAAAAAAATAGTTACTGCATTAATTTTTCTGCATATTTTGCATGCATTATATTTTTTTGTTTAAATTTTCTGTTTTCTGTTTTCTATATTTTTTGTTTTTCTGCATAATCTTTTGCTCGGAGTTTATGCGAGGTACCGTTAACCCACTATCCTTGCAGTTTGATCTTGAGATAGAAAACACAGTTAAAAAACTCGAAAAAAAAGCGCAAAAGAAAGAAAAGCAAAAGCATCAAGCTCGACGGAACCAAAGGAAGAAACTATGGCTGACAACAACGCGATTCAGAATCCTCCCAGAACTTTGGGAGATTTGACTCCAGCCCGAGTTCCGCAGACGGCGAGTAGTGTTAGACCAATGTGGGAGCTAATAACTTTGAGCTCAAGCCAGCACTATTGCAACTGATTCAAAAAGATCAGTTCGCTGGAGGAAGCACGAAGACCCTTACAATCATCTAGAGAATTTCTTGCTCTACTGTGACACCTTGAAGATGAATGGAGTCTCACGTGACGCCATCTTGCTCAGACTCTTCCCACGCTCACTAAAGGAAGAAGCAAGATGCAGTCACTGCCTCAAGGAAGCATCACCAACTGGGATGATTTAGCGACCAAGTTCTTGGCCAGATTCTTCTCAGCCTCAAAGATGGCAATGCTCAAAGCAGAAATTACTGCTTTTGAACAAAAAGAAAGTGAATCCTTGTACGAGGCATAGGAAAGGTTTAAACGACTACTCCAAAAGTTCCCCCAACATGGCATTGAAGCTTGGGAGAAAGGAAGAATCTTCTTCTAAGGAATGACGTCGAGCACAAGAACCTTGGTGAATGCTGCAGTAGGGAAATCATTGAAAACAAAAACTCCAGAGGAAGCACTGGAATTGTTGGAATCTTTAGCCTCTGAAGAGTTCGATAATGCTCTAGTCTCACAAAGGAGAGTAGGGAGCATAAAGATTGACGGCTATGATGCGCTGTTGGCCCAGAATGAACAAATATTACAAATAAATAAGAAACAACAAGCACAACTAGATGCTCTCACAAAGCAATTTGCCAGTTCTCAAGTCTCTTTTGTTAACACTCCTCAAGTTACATGTGGGTTATGCGCAAGTGCCCATGCTACTGAAGACTGTGATTTTATGCAGGCACCTGAGAATGCTGAAGTCAACGGAATCTATTATGATCAAAAGAACCAGAATAATCCGGGGAGGAACAAATATGGAAATAACTACAATCCAGGGTGGAAAAATCAAAATCAACACCCAGGATTTTGTTACAAATCAAATCATCAGTTGAATCCTCATCCACCAGTGCAACAGCAGCCTCCACCACAAGGTAACACTTCAGAGTGGGAGAAAGCCTTTGCACAGCTATCCAAGACCACCTCAGACTATATTCAAAATGCAAATGCCTTCAGAGATGAAACAAGAGCTTCATTCCGGAACCAAGAAGCTTCCATAAGAAATCTGGAAACCCAGATTGGCCAGTTGTCACGGCAGTTTGCTGAAAGAACTCAGGGCACCTTCCCGGGAGACACTATCATTAATCCTAGAGAGCACTGCAATGCAATTACCACAAGAATTCGAACAGTGATTCAGCCTATAGAGAAGCAGCCTGAAGAAAAGAAAAAGGATGAAGAAGCATCGGTTGAGGAAGAGAAGAAAGAAAAGGCAAAGGATATTATTGAAGTTGACAAAAACAATCCTGAAAAAGCCAAAAAGAAACTATTCAAGTGGGAGAAGAAGAAAGCTCTAGAAAGACGGAACAAGCCATTGGATCTCTCTCCATATGCTTGAATCCCTTATCCTCAGAGATTGAAGCAAGAGATTCAGAAGCAGCAATATTCAAATTTTCTAGACATATTCATGAGGTTGCAGATCAACATTCCTTTTGTTGAAGCTTTAGAGAACATGCCCAATTATGCAAGGTTCATGAAGGATCTGTTATCAACGAAGCGTAAGTTGCGAGAATGTGAGACAGTAAATCTGACGGAGGAATGTAATGCTATCATCCAAAAAAAGTTACCTACCAAAGTCAAGGGTCTAGGGAGCTTCAGCATTCCATGCACTATAGGCAAAGTGGAAGTGGATAACGTCTTATGTGATCTTGGAGCTAGCATCAATGTCATGCCACTCTCCCTGATGAAGAAGTTGGGGATCACTAAAGTGAAGCCAACAAGGACGATAGTGCAACTGGCTGACCGCTCTTCAAAGCAAGCTTATGGCATCATTGAGGATATACTGGTCAAGGTAGAAAAATTCATCATCCCTGTTGATTTTGTCATCCTTGATATAGAGGAAGATGCCACAATTCCAATGATCTTTGGAAGACCCTTCTTGGCAACTTCAGGAGCGCTGATTGATGTATTTAAAGGTGAATAGATCTTACGGGTAGACGGGGAGAAAGCAATTTTTAAGTTCTTTGACAAAGAAGTCCCGTCACCTATAGCTCAACTAGAAGATCAAGTCTACTATATTAGTGAAAAGAAAGGAGAAGAAGACAACAAAGAGAATTCTCATCAAGAAGGTAAGCCAAAGGTTAAAATGGAGAAGCCCAGGAGCAAAGAAAAGCATGTAAAAGTCAAGTTCAAAGTTCCTGAGACTACTTTACATCATCCATATGCTGAAGAGCACTATGGTAGGACACAATTTCTGAATGATGGAGCTTGGTCATCACCAAGATCATGCTTTGAGCCACCATGATCATAAGTCAGGTACGTCAAGCTTGTGACGTTAAACAAGCGCTTCTGGGGAGGCAACCCTAGAATTTACCGTTTTTAAATTTCTTTGTTAATTAAATAAGAAAATACAAAAAAAATTAGATAGAGACTAAGGTGATCAAGTGATAGTTGAAAAAGAGGAACACCAGCTGTTGAAGGGTCAGATCCGTCAGTAGAGAGTCGTCTGATTGCACTGGAGACTCAAGTGGGATTCATCCGGCGCAGGAATCGATATATGCAGAGGAGGCAGCTTGATTATCAGGCGTACATGAGCTCGAAGATGGCATATATCTGCATCAACCGGCCCAATGGACCACCAGTCTTCCATCCCGAGCCTTGTGATGGATCCGAGGAGGAGGATGCCTATGACGCTGCACTGAGAGGGACCAGCACGTTTTCGACCACTGAGGGCCAGGATGATGATGATGATGCTGGAGAGGATACCGTCATGACACACGCCATTGTGCGAGATGCAGAGGATGAGGAGCTTGATGACTGATCACTTTAGCTATTTTCATGTTTTATTTCAGTTTTCATTTTTTGAGATTGTTATTGTTTTTTTTTTTTGTGATATGAGATAACCCTGTGATGCAGTATGGTATTTCAGCACTGATGACTGATAGTGTTGATTGATGCTATTTCAGAGGAATCCACTACTTCCTAACTCTCAACGCGATTATTTTTTTAGATTTAAATCAGTTGTTGTGGCCAGCAACATTTAAATTTGGTAATGGGAAACGCATAGTTCATCAGTGGGTATTACTAAATGAACCAGAGAAACTGCATGAGTATACACGAAACATTCGGCTAGTACAAGGAACTATCTCAACTTTTTTCTTTTCCTTAATGCAACATTTTTTTAGAAATTGAAATTAATTTTTTTTAGAGTTTTAAGTAATAAAAACCTCAATCCATTGTTTTGTGAAAATTTGAAAGTTTTACTCAGTGCTTTTAAATGGAAGATTGATAGGAAATTTGATCATTAATTTGATTCAGAGCATGATGATGCACCTTCTTAATTTTCATAATGAGCATCAATGTAATGATTTTCATGATTCATTGAATATTCTCTTTAGTGATGAAATTTTTTTAAGATAAAGAATAGGGAAATTAATGTGCATTCATAGCCGTGAGGTTTTGAGCTTATACAGAAAATTCTTATTGAGTGTGCATCCCACTGTATGAAAGACTCTAGAACTTGCTTTGTTCTTGCTTGAATTGGTATATGATATATTCTATGGATATGATTGAGGCATGTTCTTTCTTTAAACTAGATGGCCAATAGCCAACCATTGCTGACATTCCTTAGTTAAACCCTTTGGAGCCTAGGCCTGTTTATTCTTTGAAAACCTATGAAGATGAACAAGCCACTTTCCATATAAATCCTCACCTTATTTGAGATTAACTTTCAGATTTGAATTGAGGAACATATGATAATTAATTTATTACATAAGTTGTGATGTATGGGAGTACAGGGAAGAAAGGAAAAAGCTAAAGAAGTAAGGTTAGTTAGAATGAAAAAGAAACAAAGAAAAGGAAAAAGAAAAGAGGTGAAAAGAAAGAAGAAAACTTGTTCTGAGAAAAGAGAACGACAAACAAGAGAAAAGTTCAAAAGAAAAAGAAGAAGAATGAACCAAAAAGAAGGAGAAAGTTGTTTACAAATTGTTAAACGATTGCACATATTCCTCTTTGAATCTGGATTTTAATCTTGGAACTCATTCTCTAAATTTTTCCTTCCTTTAGTCAGGCCAAGTTACAACCTGAGTAAAGACTTTTTGATCTGTTAGAGATGTCACAATAATTGTGGAGAGCGAGAATATAAGCAAGCCTGTGGTAGTGTTGATCCAATGGGATACGAGTGAAACATCAACCCTCTAAACAGTTGAGTGTGAGTGAATTGAATTCCTAATGAGGGAGTGTTTTAGAAAATTTTCGTTATTCTTGATCTTAAGAAATTTCGTTGCAGCTTTTAACTGATGAATTATGAATCTTGTTGATTGATGTATCATTCCTTAGAGTTTGAGTGCTCTGTAATCATGTCTCTGATTGAGTCATTCCTGTCAAAATTCCATGCAATTGAGGATTATTACTCCCTATTCCCTTAGTTTTATTCTGATTAATTGTTGAGGACAACAATATTCAAATCTGGGAATGTTTGATAAACCCTTGGTTTACCATATTTTTAGGCTAAATTATACAATAATTATATGGTAGATTGCATGGAATTCAAGGTGTTATATGATAAAATCATAAAGATTTGAAAATTGAGCTAATGTTTTGATATCTTGCTCATTTTGAAGGTAAATCCACAAGATTTGGTGCTAAGAAGTGATAAAGGAATCATAACACAGATTTGAAACTCAATCTGTCAGCCCAATCTGCAGGATCTTAAATAAAAACAGAAACAAATCAAGATTTGATTAGGAATTGATAGAGATCCGTGGAGAGATTTGATGAAGAATTAAAAGATATGGCTTCAAAGATTATAAATAGAGAGCTTGGGGTCAATGGAATTAACTCATTCACAGACACACCACGAAAAATACGCACAGACCCAAAGGAGGAATCCTGTTGTGGAGCGTTGGAGCACTGGGGAGCCAAATCAACATCACACCAATGGAGGCTTGGGGAACTATTTTCTTTCTTATTGCTTTTGAATTCAGTATGCTAGGCTAAGTTTTTCTGTAGTTAGAGATAGATGGAACTCAATTGAATCCTTATGTTTATGAATTAAATTGTTTCTGAATTCTTCTCTTTTTATATTTGAATAGATTTATCTGTCTTTAATGCTTTCTATGAGTTTGCTCCTTATAGATTGATTTAAGGGAATTGTATGACAATAAGGATGTTGGTTCATGAACCCTGATTTGATAAATTTATCACAATCCTTGTGATCTAGGGATAGACATAGAGCAATTGTGCAATCTTTAAATTATTGATCTTAATGCATGTTTTCTTGGGAAATAATCGGGGAATTAGAGTTCTTTCAAGATCACATAGATTTAGGGTAACAAGGAATTGAGCCCTAATTAACTTAAAAAGAATTGATTGACATTATATTAAGAGCAGATTCTTGACAGTTTAATTCATAGCATATAGAGGAGATTGGGGGAAGTTGAAACCCTAACTACGCTTGTTTTTAATCATTAAATCAATCATCTTTCCAATTGCTTTTTAATTCTGAATTTTAATTTTCATTTTATTAATTATTTTCTTTTTAATTTCAATTTTCTTCATCTAAATATTGATTGTCCAACTAAACCGCGATTAACGAACTAGTGGTTGAAACTCAATCCTCGTGGGAACGATCTCGTACTCCGATACACTTTTATTACTTAGCGAATGGTGCACTTACCAAGTCGCAACAGAGACCACACAATTAGGGGTGAAAGTGGGTTGGGCTGGGTCAAGCTTTGCCCCGAAAAACCTAAGCCTACGTCAAAAAAATTTCAATTTGATCTGGCCCAAGCCTAGTATGAGTCTAACTGTTAGCCTGGTTTGGCCCGTTTATAAAAAAAAAATGGCCTGGCTTGACCCGTTAGCCTGTTAATTTTTAACTTCCAAGCAGAACCATGAATCAACTTTACAAAGTACTCAAATTATGTTGCTACACCAAAAATCATAATTTTAACGCCCAAACACAATCATGAATCATAACAGAACTCATACAATATGCATTTAAGTCATTTTCAAAAGAAAAATGCTCAAACTAAATAACATATATTTCATCAGATCCAACAAACAAATCCATACTATGTAAAAAAAAATAACTACATGAATTCAACAAACACGTCATGATGCTTGTAGTAAGAATAACCTCTCCCAAAAAAAATTTAATATATTCATATACACAATCTAACATGTTGAGATGTTGGTTCCTCCTATATAAGAAATAAAATAAGATTTCTATTAAAATATAATCGAATATAATTAAGTTATAAATAATTACAATTGATTAAATTTATATCTTTTTTTTTCTTCAAGGCATACTTACTATATTTTAATTTATTTAAAATAAATAGTACAATATAGGCCGGCCTGTAGGCTTATAAGTCCGGCCTTTTGAAAGTGGGCCTACGGCCTTTTTATTAAACAGGTTTTTTTAAGGCCCGAACCCGACCTATTATACAAAATATACTAAGTCGGGTCTAACCTGATGTAGGCCGAGCCGTAAGCCCCTGTAAACCGGCCCGGCCCAGTTTCACCCCTACACACAATGCTATCATAAGAGTTGACGAAGCAAAACTTGCAGAGATGAGAAGACAAGAAAAATGCATCCGAAAGCTGATGGTCAGTTTTAAAATGCCATAGTAGTTAGTAGTTTGGGCATCAAATTGATTTGATTGAGAACAGTTTATGTGTTGGTTTGCGAATGGAAACTTGTTACCAAGGCACACAAACTCAATCTGAGATTTGTTTTGTGCACAGTTAACATTTTCATTAAAAGAAAAGCTTTTATGAAATTACTTAAGTAAAAATATATTTTTTTAGATTAATCAAAAATAATTTTAATAATCAATGCATATGACACATAACCAATCACATTTTAACAAACGAATAAAAAGTATGCTAAGAAATTACACAGCGGTGATATTAAAAAAAAAAAAAAAAAAAAAAAAAACTACATACTGTAAGAAGCCTAGAGAGAAGCATAGGAAAATAAGATGTCTTTATGAAGTAAAAGGGAATCAATAACAAATTCTAACTGGATTCCAACTCAGTACCTGTTAACAACTAAGGCTCCTAATCTGTTGACAGTAAACTAAACAATACAAGTCATGATTTATCAGTTATTATTATTATTTTGATTTCGCATGTTAATTGAACTCAACACAAATAAAAATTGCAATCCTTAATTTGCAGAGTGTGTTGGCCAAGATGAAGAGAAACCTACGAGAAGAGCGAAAGCATGATGAGACCAAACAAATTGCTCTTAAAAAAGTTGAAGAGATAAGCCAAGATTTGGCCAATGCCCGTATTGATCTTGCTTCTGCTATAACTAGAGCTGAGGTCGCAGAGATAGATGACACATTTTAGCAATCCAATAATCTCAAAAATAATAGGTGTTCTTCGTATGACAAAAAGTAGTTCTAATTGTATGACTACCTCACTCATTTTCAAATAACTTGTCATTCCTGGACCCTGGTTTTCCCCTCAGGCAAAACTATCCGATCTAGGGAAGAAAATAAAATTAACCGATGACAAGGTACATTTCCTTTATCATTTGCTTTATGAGTACTACTATTTCTTCCCCAGTGTTGTGATTTTGTCCAAGGCCAAAGTGGAATATAACCACGATTCCTTCATTGAAAGACATTTAAAGTTGAACTATTCAAGTTGTTGAGGAGAAAATAGTGCTACATAAATTTGTTGTAGACAACATTTTCTTGAGTAAGCATTAGAGCTTGCATACCCAAATGGCAAATTAGATTTGCATCCAAAATTTACTTACCGATAATGTTAAGGGAGAGAACAGCTTATACTTTACATGCTAAAAAACAGGTTGGTACTTGAAGAATCTAACATAACATCTGTTTCTAACGCAGCTAGTTTGTGCAATTTGCCTGAACAATGAAAAGGACATGGCCTTTGGATGTGGGCACATGGTAAGCTCTGCCAAATAGATGACCGATTTAACCGTTCCCCTTGTTTTATGTTTTATGAATAATAAAAAAGAAATTTTGATACAGACTTGCAGAGACTGTGGATCGGCAATATCCACATGTCCCATATGCCGGAAGCAGATAACCAGCAGAGTCAGGCTTTTTCCTGGGTGACTACATTGCAAACTGAAGTGAATATTCTATAGCTGTCATAACCTATTTGTGTACAATGAAAGTAACATATACCTCGCTATTCCCATATGTGCTTCCCCTCGCCATACCAAAATATCATCTATATACAAGTTCATATTTTGTCGGTCAAAATGGCAAAGGAGCAGGCTACAACAACATTACAGATAGAGAGGAAAATATAACTAATCCACTTTATAGCATTTGTAAAATATATTGTATATAGAAGGTGCAATGTGAATACACAGCATTATATAAATTCGATGCAAGTGTAACAGTTATACTCTCATAGTTCCAAGGGCTTGTTCCTCACATATAAACTGTTTAGGACAAAAGCATTCTAAAGGTTGGATTGGAAAGGATTTGTATTGAAAAGAGAATACTAGACCTTCTGTATGAAGAATTTGGTTAAATCACTAAAATGAAGTATAGCTAGCACTCAATTCCCACCAAAAAATCCAAGCTTGCCCATAAATAAGAGTTCATTGCATAAATAAATGCATCCAGGAATAAACACGAGAATAAACACGGACAAAACAGCATCAAGTTCATAATGAACTCAAAGAAACGTACATTCCCAAATTCATTTCTTCTGCTCCTTGTCAGCCGTGGTGTTGGTTTGTTCCGGAATTGGTTGAATTCTCACATAAGGTTTTCTGGTTAAAGTCTCTCCTCTTAGAGCAGCAACATAACGGTCATTGGTATTCTCCTTCCTCTGTAGCTCTCCAAGGTATTCTGCCAGTCTTTCTTTATTTACTTGTCCCATCATCTGATACAATACATAATTAAAGCAACCAGATTGTTAATATAGAAGAATTATTGCCCAAGGCAGTCATGGAGCGAGGGCACTTGCCTCCCTTCAAATTTATATATTACTTTAGTTGTAAGTTGTCATTTATGTTGTTTTCGGTTATATAGATAGTGATCGCCCTCCTTCAACTATATGGAAGTATTTAATTGTGAATATCATCTTAGTTCTTTTGCTCATATAGATAATTAAATATTACACTTGCAATTTTGCCCCGTTCACAAAATTTTCCTATTGGCCAGAGGAAATGAATCATCGTAGAAAATAGTGCAAACTTGATACTGACGACTATTTTGTTCAACTTAATAGGTTATAATATTTAATCCCTAAGATAAACTGCATTTCTATTCCAATCCAATACCAATAATGTTGATTACCAATGTAGATTTAAAATGATCACACTTAAATATCAATATGAAATATGAGGAATTGAAGACAGAATCAAGAACACTGAAAGAAGAGGAGTCACACTTACAGAAAAATATAAGATATTGTTTTGCACAAAAAATATAGGGTTTATCATCTATCATTTAACATGACCACAAAAATTTTCCTACACACAACATTTTGTGGGGCCCGCAGCAAAAAAAAAAAAAAACTTTGGCACGCAAAACGAATCTCTATAACATAACACGATCACTTTTCCTACAACATAACTCTTATAAAACCCAAAAATATAAGATGTCAAATTTTAAGATAATACAAAACACTTAGAAAAACCCCAATTTATTTTGTGGGTAAGAGTTACCAGTGATTCGGGTCGAGCGTTTCTGCGGAGATGGGATTCGAGGTTCTCGCTGCGGGTGTTGGTGACCTGCATCACGCAATAGCCTATGATTCCCGGAACGACGCCGCATATGGTAGCGAACGCAAGGAAGAACGGTTTCGACTCGCGAGTCCTTCGCACGATCCATTTCCACGCCATCGGCATCTCTTTTCCTTCTTCCCTCTTCACTCTTCCACCGCCCTTTTTATCTATGTTCGGTTTCACAAAACCCCCTCACTTAACACCCTACTGAATATAAAGTTTTATTCTCGTTTTTACGAAGTAGTTATAACTTATAAGGGATTATGAATTCTGTTTCGGTGGTAGAAAAAAAAAATTTACCACGAGACGAAAAATGATGAAAGAGAAAGTATAGACGAATGACAGAAAATAATGATGGGCCTAATTTTTCTTTCTGAGAAAGGATATTGTAATAATTAATTTGGGTTATTATTAATATTATTATCAATCAATTTTATTATAAGATTGATTATGTTGATCCAATGGTTATTTTATTTTTATATGATTATTATTCTTCATATTTTATATTTTATATTTATTTTTACCTTTGTATGGTTATAATTTTTCATATTTAATGCTTTCACATTAAATATGAGGTGGGGAATCAGAACCATACAAAGATATAAATAAATATAACCGTTGGATTCACATAATCGATGTAATGATAAAATTGATTCATAGTAATATTGATAATAACCCTAATTGATTGTTTCAATATCTTTTCTATTCTTTTTATTTCTTAGTGGTAAAAAAAAGTTTCAGTCGCTGAAGCAGAAATAATTATCCCTGGTTATAATTAGAGAATTATATTTGTCAACCAATTTTGTTGTCATGTTAAAAAAAGATAAGGTATGTAATATTAAAAAAAGTGATAGTACACTTTATTTAATGAATTGGTATTATCTTTTTCTTAATATGACAATAAATTTGGTTCCTATAACATGACCAATATAATTCCCTTATAATTAGGACTTCTTGAATTCTTGTTTTTAATAATTTTTATAATTATTTTTTTATGCGATAAGTTATTTTATCTATATTTTTACCATATTACTTTTTTTTTTATAATATACCATATTACTTTTTTATCATTCTTTAACATCGTTATATCAGAATCTCAGTTAACCTTTATCATTTCTCTCAACTCTTGAGATTTTGATCTAACGGTACAAAAAAATGGTGGATAAAATAAGCATAAAAAAAAAGTAGAATAATCTATTCTTTTTTTATTGTTAAATTAAAATTAAATTAATGCTTATTGTTCCGGGTTTATACGTCCGGGTATTTATAGCAAAAGAATGCGGTTAGAGGAACCCGGAAGGGGTTTTACCCGGATGGTTATCCAGTCAATCCAAGTAGTGGAACCCAAGGTGGGTCCTACCACGATTACATGACGGTATTAATAACTATCCACGTTTAGAATAACTACCTATGTAAGGGCTATATATACCAAGAATAATAGCCTAAGAAAGACAGATTTGAACCATACCATATCCATACTGATGTTCATCCTGAACATTTGGCGCCGTTTGTGGGAATAGGTAAAAAGACTCCTACGCATTTTCTTGAGTCATGGCAAGCCATTACCATGATGAGCGAGCGGAGGACGACGGAGGATACCAAGGAGAGGAAGATTCTTTTCGATCCATTGGAAGGAGTCGGTCTCTCAACACCATTGGAGAAGCTTTGATTCAGTTGGTGGAGGATATCAGAAATAGGCAGCATCAGGAAGGAGGGCAAAGGAGACGGGTGCAGAAGAAAGGCACCTTGTAGGAAATGTGCAGCAGTCCCCCAACAGAGGGGGGGATTCCTTGTCTCTTCTTCCTAGTTATATTCCTTTATCCCCCCCAACTGCGGGGGGAAATAGAGGAAATGAAGTAAGGAGAGAGCAACTTTGTCAAGAGTCAAGGAGTCCTCCAGAAAGGATGGGCTATCAAGGCAGAGGACGAGGAACAAATCCGAGGATAGAAGAACGGGCACATGATGATTATGCCCGAAGAACGGGGAAAGCTAGACAGTATCAGATTAGGGAAGGTGAACAGGTGGAAGAGGAAATATGGGAGGAAGAACAATATATGGGAGCTCGCCATGATTATACTCGTCAAGACGAACGAGAGGCAAATCGAGGCCAATACGAAGAGACTTATCAAAGGTGGAGGCCGAAGGTGGAAGAAGTTATGTTAATCATAGGGGCGAGTTCCAACGAGACGATACCAAGTATTATTACTTGGGCGGAGATCACGATCAGGGTGAAGGTAGGCGACAGGCGGGTAACAATCATATGAATTGGGGTTATCAACATTACGGACCAGGGCAGGCGGAAGATTTTGGTCCTCATTACTGTAACGGACAAATGACAAATAGGGAGCAAGCTATACTCGGATGGAATGGACAATCCAGAGGAGATCGACAGCGGATTCCTATACCCCCGATAAATCTAGGGCCATCAGGAACTCCTTTGTCTTGGAGGCTCAGAGCAGAACCAATCCCGGCTTGGTTTAAGCAACCAAATGACATAAAGGCGTATGATGGGAGCTTAGATCCAAAGGAGTTTGTGACAGTTTTTCGAGCAGCAATGTCCTTATGCGGAGAATCAGATTCTTTGTTATGTCGAACATTTCCTGTGTTTTTAAGAAAACAGGCTTTGGAGTGGTTTACGGCTTTGCCGGATAATTCCATCGAAAGTTAGGCAGACTTATTGTAACACCCCGTATATATCCGGTAATGTTATCATACTATTGTATTAAGCTGCGCTTAATTAAAAATGCGGAATATCTTTTTCTTTTCAATTATGATGCCATTATCATTACCAGCTTGCTTATTAATCAATTAATAAAACATCGCCTGTATGTACATTGCAATAAACAGCTAACTGAAATACCTCATTAATTAAATAGCATAAGTATGTCTCTAGTCACGGAACTACCACACGTAGACCAGACCAACTAGCGGTTTATACAACTCAACTCAAAAGTACTAACAACATAGTGGCATGGACAACTCTCATGCTCACCCAAATAAGGCAACAAAGCTCAACATGAGTCTCAACTCAATAATCATAAATGACAGAAAACATAAACAACATCCAATCCAGTCATGCCAGTATAATATGAACCGCACTAAACATCAACTAAGCTCTGGCCTCCTACCGCCAGAGGCATCAGCCCCCATACTACCTGAACCTGAAATAAGCATTCCCCAAACGTGGGGTGAGATCTCTAAACAAGAAATCTCAGTAAGACAAGGGGTCCTCAAGGATCTTCCACCCCAAGCTCACTTACATGTGCAATATAAGTTCAAAAGCAGTTCATCAATATCATTTCTAAAACAGTGCAATGCAGCAGATAATCATGTCATGTGTGTCAATACTATTCTACTGGCCAGAGAAATGCAAGATTTATATACGTCTAATACCCACAAATAGTGCAAGACGCTACTTGCATCCACCCCAGATCACCATCTTGTTTGACGCCACATAGTCAGGCTTACCGTCAAGATGGAACAACACATGCATATTAAAAGCCATTACACATAAAGCTCAACAGCATTTCAAATATCCAAAACATGTAACATAGCATGCATATAACCATACCCCCATGGGACATGGTGGAACCACAACATGGCTAAACTGAAGACACGAAAGCTTACCTCTTAAGCAATCAATCCAAGTCAAGTCCACACAAGCTCAGTGTCCAAACATAGTAGATCACAATCTGATTTAGGATTAGCAAGCATATTAACATTCATAGCTCAATAGCATAAACATAAAGACTACGTTTTCCTTTTACGTTTTACGTCTTAAGGCTTCCCACAAAGCCATAAGCCCTTAATCACTTGATTCTGACTTAGTTAAGTATTTACAGAAGTTCAACTTCATCAATCTAGGGTCCACAAACCCCCAATGGCCTACTGTATGAACAGTGCAGTTACTGTTCTTCGAAATCCCAGAATATCTGGATATTCGTCGAGGGCATATCCGGATATCAATATCCGAATATCTCTCTTCCAATATCCGGATATCCATATCCGGATATTCAGATCCCCATATCCGGATATCAATATCCGGATACCTATATCCGGATATTCACAACAAAATATCCGGATATTTCACGACATAACCCAGATTCTGCATTTCGTGAAAATCCAAACCAAAGGTCCAACTTTTACCGATTACAGAAGCCTAAACATGCATTTCTAGGTGTGTTTAACCTTAACCACCCTTAAGTTGTCAACTTAGCTCATTACATGGATCAATGTTCCATTTTTAAGCATTAAACTCAAGCACAAGAGTGGTGAAGCTTACCAACAACTCAAAACAGTGGGAAGAATGCTCTTGGAGCTCACTAAACTGACTCCACATTTCTGACTTGGTCCCAAAACGAAAATGACACACCAAGGTTGGTTCTTTCTCCACAAAGTTCACACCTTGAAGCTCAAAAAGCCAACTTCAAGGTTCCTACAACCCAAACTCACAAGGTCATCCCACTCTTCTCAAACTCAGAAGCTCAAACTCAACAATGGAGCACCCAACAACCTTACAAGACCAACTCTCACTCAACAATGGTGTTTAAGTGAAGGTTTCAAGAAGAAAAAGTGAAGACTTGGAAGGTTTTCAAGCAAGGAGACCAAGGTTGAAGAAGGCAGCAGTTGACCCTTCAGCCACTCACGTAGGAGGCAAAAAAATAACCTAGGATCATGTGCCAAAGTTGTATTTATAGTCGGTTTAAATTCAATCGCATTGTATTTACCTTAATTGCTACACTTAGCATTTTAATCCCAAACTCAGGATTCTTAAACTACTCAATTTTACAAGAATTATCATATTTTTCTTATATTTTTCGGAGTACCTTTCCAGTACGCGCTTTTCATAGCCAGTACCAGTTTCGGGCACCAGTTCTCATTATTTTAACTTGAAACTCGTTTTACAAGTCCTACATGTTATTCTAGTAGTTATCATGCACTTATTATAATTTTCCGGTATACTTTTTCGGTACGCATTTATACCGACTAGCAGAACCGGTATCTGCATTTTTCGTCAGAAAATCGACTTTCAGCATTATTACTCACTTACTATAATTATTAGAGCCTCATAATAATTATTAGGGTCAATTATGGAATTATCTCATCAAACTCATAATTAACTGATTAATTTCCTTAATTAACGGTGCGAGTTCTTACATTCACCCCAACTTTTTAGGATTTTGTCCTCAAAATCAGAATATACCTGTCTCGGAAATC